TGTGGGGGCACAACATGAGATTGCCTGTTGCTCGCATGGCTTGGAAGCGAGAAGAAATCACGACTGGGGCCATAGGACCTTGACGAGCCCGGCACGTCCACATGACATGGGTTGCGTGATAGCGCCGTGCTTGCAGCCCATGCAGACGACCATGCGGACTGCGGTGGACGTCAGGGAATCAATGCAAACCACGAGTCTTCGTACAAACAATGTGAAATCAAGTTGGAGGGGCACATATCTGGATTGTAACCAGCAACATCATCTTTTGCATTGTCACCACCCCCTATCCATCTACCAGCAAAGTTGGTCCTTTTTTGCGGATTTGTCATGATTCTTTTCGCGCACCGAGGTTTGTGTCCTCCCACCATTCTTCATCCCCCATGCATCCCCATGCCGCCATGCCCATGCCCATGTCGCCCCAGGCGATTTTGATCATCCTGCTCATGGTGGCCATGGGTGGGGTGGAGGGTGGCTGCCGAGAGCTCAACAGCTGCCCTGGCATCATGGATGCCTGCAAGAGCATGAAGAGCGCCCTTGCACGCAAAACTCAGCGTACTTGGCGCATTTGGGTTGGACCCGTTATCGACATGGATCTTAATCTATTAGGAAGTCACTTCGAAAGAACCCAGCAATAGGGGTGACGTTTTTCCGTCCAACGTCAGCCTGTTTTGCAGCGCGAAAGAGGACTTTTGTCCATTTAAAAAAAAAAAGGTAAAATGGAGGTCAAAAAGCTGGCTCGGGGTTGGAAGAATAGGGCCCCGCAGCACAAGAACATTCGGCTGGGCTTGGGTCTTGGGGTAGGGCTTAGAAGGACAATGCGAGGAGCTTTCTGAAATGCATGATCTGCGTACGGCTATCCAAGATAATTCTATCAAATTGCTGTTCGCAGTCCACAGATGAGCGATCGTTGTACCTGCAGGTAGGATATGTGAGGCTATGATGCAAAATTTCAGCGACAAGCAATACGTCAATGGGCTTTGGTACTGCTGAAGCCAAGGTTTGAGAGTACTGTTGAAATGGGTACACGGACAGTTGGTGCCTGTGAGAAGAAACAGTGAGTCGATGCATCAAGAGTTGGTGGAAGGTACGGCAAGCTTTTCAAAGGAGACTCGGCTGTTTTTGTTGGGCTGCGCCCCAGAGCATTAGCTACATGCTCGTTTGCTTGTTGCTTAGGTGACGACTTCGCCTTGTCCACCTATGAGGGTTGCTTCGACTACCTTATCTCTATGCTCCGCGGCAAAGAAGTAGAACGGGATTGCAAGCTATCTTGTTTTCCCGCAGGATTCTTTTCCAAGAAGAGTGTAAATCCTAATCATTTCTCCGGAGGGGTCATGTTCGAGCTTCATTCTCCAATTTCCCAAAAGCAATAGATGTTGGTCAAGCACTAAATGAGCATATACATGAGTAACGTGAATAGAGAAGAGCATTGGTGTTATTTGTGCTCGAAGTATTAGGATGAAAGTCACCAATACCTTCTGACCCCTTTTCCTTTGTTCAAAGAACGAATTATCCCTTGCCACTTTAGTTCTATATTGGCTTCTTTGCTTTCTGGCTCTTCTTTCCCTTTTTGTAGCCATGCAACAGTCTACATTTGCATGTGTTTTGGATCTTGTTTCCTGGTTGGGTACAGTGTGCTAGGACAAACTATTGCAGAAGTATCCGCGAGCTTTCATCAGGACACCTCAATGAAAGCTACAAAGAGATTCATCTGAGCCAGTGCCCTTTCCTTGTGGACTTTAGGCTTTTTCGACAGGCAATTGGGCCAGAATGAGGGCACTATTTAACGTCCGTGTTCAGCTGCTTTTATCCCCCGATAATCCAGCTATGGGCTCTGTTACCTGGAAAGTGTCTGTGCAATCATTGGTTCTGGCGGTATCTCGTGGTGTGTACTGTTCCGCTGGTGTCCCGGTGGCGTTCTGTCTCAGTGGTGTCCCAATTGTGATTGGGTCGTGTTTTGGTGGCGTCCCGGTGGGTTGCTGCTCTCTCCTCAATAATGTTTTGGTTGTGACTGGTGTCCCAATTTTAGAGTCATGTGGTCCCGCGTACGGTTGGTCTCCCAGAATTCGGAAGTGTGGCAATTGCAAGTGGAGTTCTGGTACTGTTCCAGTTGCTGTTCCGGGGTGGTGTGCCAGCGGTGTTCTGGTTGTCCGTGCTCCTGTGTTCTGACGTTTCGATTACGGTTGTTGGCGGTGTCCTGTTGGTTTGCCCACGTTCAGGTCCCAGTTCCTTTCTGGTTGCCACTGGTTTGTTGGTGCTCTGGCGGTGTCTCACTGGTGTTCCGGTGGTGTGCATGCGTTGCGCCGGCGCTGTTCTGCTTCTGATTTCCCGGTGGCATCTCGCTGATGGTGTTCTGGTTTTGCAGTGCGGTGTTCCAGTTGCTGTTCTTGGTGGTGTCCCAGTGTCTGCGTCCAGGGGTGCTTTTTTTGCTGGTGTCCCGTTATGTTCTTGCAGCTGAAGTTGCTTGATCCGCAAGAATTGCGAGTTGCCATTGCTTTTGGGGTGTGTCGCTGGGTTAATTGGCTCTTATGTGGGATGAGAAGGGCCTCCGACTCCATTGCTTCATCATGTTCGAAGGTCTGACCGAGAGGTAAGTTGACAAGCAACATGAACTACTTTTACAACTGTGTTTTAGATCCTAGACGAATAGCCCCCACTCCCAAACAAACTCCAGGTAAGTCCGTCCGCTGAAAATACCCTGGCCCCAAATCCTCCAAAGCCGACCTTTTGTACATTTTGGTTTGCAGATTGGGTCCATAAATATTTCCTCACTTCCAAGAAAGACCAAGTGGTTCCTGGGTCCGGTCAGAGCCATCTCTCGAGAGCTGAGGTTCCCCATGGCCTACGCGGGGCTGGGCGTGGCGGTGGCCATCAGCTGCTGCGCCGTGTGCTTCCAATGCGCCTCCGCGAAGTGGGGCCGGGAGCTCTACGAGGAGCTGGCCGTGGAGGAGCTGGTCTTTGAGCCCTGGTCTCTGAGCCGGTCCGGTGAAATCCAGGGTCTTGCAAAGGGTACAAAACAGTTCATCGAAGCGTCTTTAGCTTTGGGATTTATGAATTTACGAGTCTTTTGTTTAATCGCAGACCCGTGGAGAAGTCACACTTTTGCCGTGAAACCTTTGAAAAGGTCACCCACCAAGAGGTTTGAACCACGCAGAAAGCCAGGTTTCGTGCTTTGTCCGCGACCGAAAAAGGGTGCCTTTTTCCTCATGGGCACTGGAGGTCTGGGTTAAGGTGGGTTCAGCCAAATTGTCACCAGCCGTTCCCCATCTATGTGAAGCCAAAAGGAGGTTGTTTGAATAGCCGGTTAACCAAACTAGGGGTTTGGGGTTCAGATTGGTGAGAGCTCCTGAGGGACGGAAACTCAATTTGAGACAAGGCACCAACCCAATGCAATGCGGCCACATGTCAAAACGCCAAGGTGCCCTCCGTTCTTGCTATCGACAGAAGTAGAAGACAGTCCTCCCCCTTGTTATTCTTCAATCCCATACTGGGCTGCTGCCCAGCAAGCAGACGAGCTTATTCGGCAGAGCCTCTTGCTTGAAGAGCATCTCATTTGAGCAACTTAGGAATCAGACGAGGACGTCTAAGGAGCAGAGGCCGATGTGGACGTGGAGGCTGCAGGCTCGACATGATTTTCTGGTCTTGATGCGGTGTTTGAACCAGAACTCTGCGTTTGCCACCCTTCACCACCGCATCTCTTCCTGCAGGCATCAACCATCGACTGGTTTTGCTGGGTGTCCCATTCCGGCTCAGAAAAAGAAAAGGGCCTGTTCATCCCTTCAGAGTACTGCGAAGACACGTGACCCTCCTTCACCTGCTTTTAGGCGGCACAAGTGTGAGTCGCTTTTGTTTGTCCGGGCATTTCAAAAAAGAAAACAGAGGGGCACTGTGTATTTTGGGAGGGTGCATTTGGGGATTGCAGACAGACCCACAGCATAATGACAGGCCCCTGTTTCTGACAACGCTAACCTTCTCCCGTGTCAGGCAAAGCTCCTGCCTAATTTATTCGCATATGATGGATGGACAATGAACCCCCGAGGGCCTTCGCGGAATTCGATTCACAGCTCAAGTCGAATTGCGGGACCCTTAATCAATGAACCTCGAAGAAAACCAAGTGATACAATTATGAATACTGTTTTATTGATTATACAATTGCACCAACACCCCATGCTGCATGCCCATCGCACCGTCACCAGCATGCTCCCTAGCACTCGGCCTTCGATCTCGCGGATTATTTCCCCTCTTTATTAGAAATGGAATCTGATGAAGCACAACAAACTCAAGGACAACAAACTGAGTTTGTTGTTTATTGTTTTTTGTTTAATATTTGTTTATATATTTTATACTTTAGAGCCTCCGACTTAATCCGCCGACATTGTTCCTTTTTTTCTCCTTTTTTTTCTCCTTTTTCTTCTCTCCTTTATCTCTTCCTCCGCGTGTTTTGTTGTCTTCTCGTTTTTTTTGCTTTTTATGTTGTTTAGCCTTTCTATTTTCTTATTCTGTTTTTATTTTTTTTATTTTTTTCTTTTTTTTCCCTTATTTATGTCTGTTATAGAAAAATGATATTATTTTTTAGTGAAGATGTTTTTTTATTTATATTTGTTATATTTTGTATTTTTTTTTTATATTGTGTTAAATATATTTTATAAAAAAAATATATTTATTGTAATATATTTATAAAAAGGATATTTAAATATTGCTTTTTTTGGCAAAAGGAGAAAGGATTATATTTTATGAACGATTATCATATAATTGTATTATAGGGGATGTTTTTTATAATTTGTGTATTAGATATTTTTTAATAAGGGATATATTTTTTTTGTTAGATAATTGAATATTAATAATTTGAAATTATAATAATGGATGAAACATACTAAATAGAAAAAAAATATAAAATAAAAAACGATAATAAAAAACAAACAAAAAATATATTATATATATAAATAATATATTATTTAATTTTTTAAATTATATTAAATTAAAAATATAATAATAATATAATTAATTAAATTAAAACTTAAATTAATAAATATACAAATTATTATTTAATTAATATATATATATATATAATTATGTTAAATGTATTTTATTATATATTTTTTTGTGTTTATTTAATTTTTTGTATTGTATTTAAGTAAATGTTTTATTATTTTTTTTTCTTTTTTTTTTCTTTTTTATTTTTTGGGGGTGGTGTTTATTATTATTTTTTTTTTTTTTTTTTTTGTGTTGAATTGTGTTGTTTCTCGTTGTTTTTCGTTGTTTTTATGATATTTTTTGTTTTATATATATGTTTTTGTTTTTATGTGGTTTTGTGATTTTTTGAATGTAATTGTATGGTTTTGCTATGTTTGTTGTTTTGTTTTTTGTTGTTATTGGATTGTTATTGTTTATTGTTATTTAGTTTTATTTATTTTTATTTATTTATTTTTATTTATTCTTAAATATTATTGTATTTTTACTTTTGTTTGTTTATTTTTGTTTATCTTTATTTGTTTTTATTTGTTGTTAATTATTGTTATTTGTTTACCTATTTGTTTGTTTATTTATTGATTATTTATATATTTAACTATTTTAATAATTTATTTGTTTTGTTTGTTTTTGCTTACTTATCTATTTATCTTTACCTGCTTCTGGTTCTTTTCCTACTTACTTATTTGTATGTTTACTTGCTTTATATTATTTTGCCTAATTTGTTTGGTTACTTGTCTTTACTTCTTTTTTATTTGTTTACTTGTTTGTTTGTTTGCCTTTGCTTGCTTGTTTGCTTGCTTGTTTGTTTGCTTGCTTGCTTTGCTTTGCTTTGCTTTGCTTTGCTTTGTTACTTGCTTGCTTACTTGCTTGCTTGCCTGCCTGCCTGCCTGCCTGCTTGCTTGCTTGCTTGCTTGCTTGCGTGCGTGCGTGCGTGCGTCCGTGCTTGCTTGCTTGCTTGCTTGCTTTATCTACCTTATCATTTTGTCTATTTTGTTATTTTGTCTGTTTTGCTTACGTTCTTTGCCTTGCTTACTTGTTTTGTTGCCTAATCTTGTTGCCTAGCTTTGTTATAGACCGTTATTAAAAACAATAAATTATAGTTAATAATAAAATTAGATTATATTAATTTAAGAATAAATTAAATTATGTTAATAATTATTATCTTAAATTAAGAATATCATTTTACATTATATTTGAAATATATATATATATAGGTTTTTTAAAAGAACCATATTATTTTTTATATAAGATAAGTAAAGGTTTATAAATTTTTTATTAATATTAAGAAATAAAATGAAAAAAAAAAAAAAAAAAAATATATAAAGAATAGTAGAATAATGAGTTTAGTATAGGTTTATATTTATATAAAATTTCATATTGTATTTTTAATAGGGTTATTATTTTTAAAAAGATTTAATATATATTATAAATGGATTTAATAAATATAAGTAGGACATTTAATAGGCTTTTAAAAGCATATTTTATATTATGGTTTTAGGAAAATATTAAAAAACAATTTTTTTTTCCCATTTTTAAAAAAATATTAATCGGAATTAAGATTAAATCATGATTATAAGATTTAATTAATTTTATATTTTTTTAAAATTTTATAAAATTAAATTAAGGATTTTTAAAATTGGTTTATATTAATTAACATTAATTAAATTAATTATAAAATAAAAAAAGAATTAAAAATAAAAATAAATATTAATTATTTCTCAATCTTAAAGAATCAAATAAATACATTTTTTATTAAATATTTTTTTTTTTTTTAAAAAAAATATTTAAATTAAATTATATTTTTTTTTAAATAATATAATAAAAAAATAAATAAACCATAAACAATTATTTTCGACAATCATAAATAGATTATATAATATATATATTATTTAATTAATTTTAATATATAAATTTAATTTGTATTTTTTTATAATTCTAAATATCTAAATATATTATTAATTAACATAATACAAATCAATTTTCTTACCAAAAGAATAGAACAACGACACTCTATATTGGAGTATTGAAATGTACATTAAACTCTCTTTAACAATAGTCCAACATTATGATACCTGTACTATTTTGATATAATTCAGCATGATGATTGCAACATGTTGCTGAACTTTTGACGGATACGTAATCGGCGGCGTGTTCCGAAACACGCCTGCCCTCAACATTTACCTCCCTTTCCAGCTGCCGATTGGCCTGGCTTCCCTAATCACAAGACTTCCAAGTTGGAAGGACACCAGCTTTGCGAACCCCTGTTTCTGTAAGCGTGCACGATCCCACGAATCATCCGAGTGTAGTTGTGTTGGCTTATTGCTTTGTGTTGCGGAATCCTGCAAGATGCATTCTGGAAACCAGGCTGGCTGTGTTCTATGTACATGCCCTGGCGCTCCACTGGCAATATCCACATGCCCGGCCGAATTCGCTTCTGGAAAGGCTCTGCTTCCTGGCAAATGCTCTTTGGCACAGCCAGACAGATGGACGCCATAGAACTCACGCCTCTGGTACCTGCCTGCCACAAATCCAGCAAGCTTCTCCTGGTCCTTCTTGCCTGAGATGACATCCAGTTCAAGAGTTATATAATCTGACGGGTGCACAGTAGGTGTGTCCATGAATCTGTGCAGCGAATCATGTACGGATCGCTGTCACACAATTGCCACGTCGTGCAACAGGGACTCTGCGAAAACCAACAAAAATCCCGAGGGAAGCCACCCGTAGAGCACATGGCATGACTTTGGGTGCACTGTGAGAAAGCATAGCAAAACACATGTGGGCTCGGCACAAAATTGCCAGGGTATTCTTTAAGCATAATAGGGGGACATTACTTTGGAGTGGGTCTCGTCTGTTTCTGTGACATTGTTCTTTACGAGGCCAACTTAGCGGTTGGAATACATGCAAACACTACCAACTACTTCCTTCGGCCTCCAAAATCCAAGTACAGTATTTCGGCACCTTTTGGACGTCAACTGCTGCATCCCCAGCATCCCAAGCTCATGTTGCTTTCGTCATTTTGGCTGACGCGTGGCCTTTGGTTTTGTTGTGGCTCTGGAGCATGAACTTGGCCTTTGCTGAACTCAACCAGCGTCTCTAGACCTGACAACCTGCATTTGTAAGGGAATTAGCCACGCACGGCACGGCTGGTGCGCGTTGGCGACTGGCTAAGTTAATAAATCAAGTTAATAACTCAAAGAGGGGCTCGCTGAACACGTGCGTGTCGCTTTATGAGGTCACCCTGCTCGAGGGGGTGGTTCAAAAGGAGATTCAAAGGGAAACGGAAGCCCGGTTGGCCATTCGTGGGTTCTCTCACTTCGAGACACACATGGGTGCAGCTTTTCCCAAGAGGAAGCTCTCTTTCCGGGTTAGTTTCAAAGTACAAAGGGCAACCCCGAACGCTTCTTTCTTTTGGCTTCCTTTTTCCCAACCGAAAGGGAGCTCCACAAACCCGCGTTAAGCTAAGTTGATTGGCCGCCTAGGAAAGAACACCCTCTAATCACGGGGTTCACTTCCATAGGGGTACCTAGGGCAATTGAGCCACAGGGCAAGATCAAGGTCAAAGACCACCTGCTTTCCATCCTTTTCTTGCTTCTCTCATCTTCTCTTTGTGTACGTTTTCTTTAAAGGGTCTCGAATGAAAGTATTGACTCCCTAACTAACTAACCAAACGAACCCAAACGACCCAAACAAACGAACAAACAAACCAACTCACGCACTCCCGCACGCACGTGCGCGCGCAAACGCACCCGGAACACGCCGCCTGCGCAGGGCCCGGCAGCAGCGCCTCAGCTCCAGCAGCGCGCTGCAGCTGGCGGCCGCCGCGCCGGAGTCCCGCTGCCGGCTCCGCAACAAGGCCTCAGTGTCTCTAGTTTCGGCCCGGGGTGTTTCCCTGGACAAACCCCTGGCTTCTCGACCAACCGTTTGATGTTTGCTCAGAACGGGGTCACCTTCGGATTTTGCTTTTGCACGGAAAGTCGAACAGCATCCAGACAAATGACATCATTGCAGCGCAGGTTGGCGCCTTGTGGCTAAGGCTTACGCGTGCAAACATGCTATACCTTCGGATTTCCCCAAATCAGTTGATCAATTCTCTGGTGGTTTCCATTGAAACGATCGCCACTTTTGGAGGATCCACAACGGGAGATGAAGTAACGAATTTCCGGGTGGGAAGCGGAAAGCAAAGGGTTTTACAGGAAAAAGTACACAGAAAGCAAAGGGGGGAACCGAGGGGACACTCAAGGACTTGGGTGTCAATCTCCCTTGCAGGGGCTTCTTACAAGCAAGAATCCAAGAGCATTTTGCCAAAAAGGGGAAGTGTCCTTGGATTGGTTGGGATACTACATCCCAATCCGCTTTAGAACCTTGCCAGGCCCTTCAGCACGCAGCAAGCCCGCAAGGGAAAGTTCAGCGTCGCAAAAGCCAGTAAGCTCGCGTTGCCGCACAGTGATGCTCCGTTGGATCAAGGGCTGAAGGACAGCAAAAGGCGCTGTGCCTTGCCAGCGCTCTTGTGATAGGCATTGAGGCATGCGTCTCTTTTGCTTGACTCCGCGTAAAACTAAAAAAAAGGCAAAACAACTCAATTCCGCACGGGACATAACTCCACAAGGCGATCCCCTCAGTCCATCTCAATGTCAGCTCTGCGCTTCAAATCAAGCATTAGCGACAACCAATCCAGACCCTTCTAGTCTTCCCCCGGCCCTCACTTGCATTTGAAGAGTGGGACTGGTTTGGTAGGCGTCGGTTCACTGAACACACCTCTTGAGTGAACCAGCATCTCAAGAGATGCAGCACAGCTCTGTTCATTGCTACAGTTTCTATCTCTCGACCCCCCGCCGACCCCAAAAAAAACAACAACTAGAGGATGGCCACGTGTGTGTGGCATGACATTTCTTGCTGCTGCGATAGGTACGAAAAAAAAAGAAAAAAAACAAAAAACAAAAACAAACACAAAAAACTCCTTGTGTTGGGAATGAACCGTTTGGGGACTCCAGAATAAAGGCATCGCCAGTTGGATGGTTTCGGGGGGTCATTC